CCGGCCGAGGTCGGCGAGCAGGGCCTCGGCCGCCAGGCGCCCCTCGAGCTCGGCTGCGTCGGCGCCGCCGATGCCGGCGCCGTCGCCGGCCAGGTAGACGCCGGGCATGGGGGTGCGCCCGGCCGCGTCGCGCCGGGGCGTCCACTGCTGCTGGTCGCGGCGGTAGGCGAAGGGCAGGTCCAGCAGGTCGGCCAGCGCGATCTCGGAGCGCAGGCCGTGGCCCAGCGCGACGGCGTCGCAGGCCAGCTCCAGGCGCTGGCCGCCGTGGCGGAAGGACAGGCCCGCGACCTCCCGCTCGCCGAGAACCTCGGGCGCCGTGATCCCGCGGTAGACCGGCACGCCGCGGCGCTTCAGCTCGCTCACGAAGGCGAGGCCGCGGCGCAGGAAATCCGGCGCGCCGAGCAGGCCGACGCCTTTGGCGAGCTGCCGGCCGAAGCCGGTGGTGTCCAGCACCGCGGCGATGTCCGCGCCGGCCCGGGCATATTGCACCGCCACCCAGTAGAGCAGCGGGCCGGTGCCGACGAAGCCGGTGCGCCGGCCGATCAGGCAGCCCTGGGTCTTCAGCAGGCTCTGGGCGCCGCCCAGGGTGAACACGCCCGGCAGGGTCCAGCCGGGCAGCGGCATCACCCGGTCCATGGCGCCGGTGGCGAGGATCAGGTGGCTCCAGTCCAGCGCGCCGGTGCCGCCGGCCGCCAGGTCCTGCAGGTGCAGCCGGCCGGGCACGGCGTCCCACACCAGGGTCTTCGCGCGGTAGTCGATCCGACCGCGCAGCGCGGCGAAGCGGGCGTGCAAGGCCGCCGCCTTGCCCGCCTCGCTGCCGTAGAGCGTCGCGCCGTCGGCGGCGTGGTGGGGGGCGGGCTGCTTGTAGATCTGGCCGCCGGCGGCCTGGCCCTCGTCGATCACGCTGGGGCGGAGGCCGGCGGCGACCAGGCGTTCGGCGGCGCGCACGCCGGCCGGCCCGGCGCCGACGATGACGATACGCGGCGCGTGTGTCCCGGCGGTCTCAGGCATCGGGCCAGCCATCGGCATCGGGCCAGCCATCGGCATCGGGCCAGCCGTCGGCGTCGGTGCGCACGCTCATGCCGGCTTCCAGCGGTGTCTGGCAGGCGCGCAGTCGGCGGCCGTCGTCGAGCTGCACGTAGCAGTCCTGGCAGGCGCCCATCAGGCAGAAGCCGGCGCGATGGCCGCCGCCGAACTCGGCCCGGCGCAGCACCCGGCCGTTGAGCAGAATGGCGGTCAGCAGGCTGTCGCCGGCCGCGCCCTCTACCGCGCGCCCGTCGAGCCGGAAGCGCAGACGCGGCCCCTCGGGCGCGCGCACGCGGACCAGGCGGCCGCTCACAGCATGTCCTCCAGGCGGCAGTTGACCAGCAGCTCGGCGACGCTCGCGCTGTTCGGCAGGGCGAGCAGGTAGGCGACGCTGCGGCCCAGGTCTTCCGGGTCGATCATCGCCTCGCGGTCGATCTTGGTGACCTCGGCCGTCAGGTCGGTGCGCACGAAGCTGGGGCAGAGCGC